CTCCCCGTCTCACCTTTCCTCTCCTCTTCATAAAGAAAGTCCCAAGGTATGCTTCTCAAACCCCTTTACTGTTGTTTCAGGCATATAAAAACCATAGGTTAAACAACTAAGCAAAACGAAACTGAACAAGCATGCGAATCAAACAACAAACTGAAAAAGATGTTAAAATCAAAATAGAACGAACCATACCATTTTGCAACCAAAGCCTTGGATCGTTAGGAGAAGGTGAGAGAGTGAAGGATGGTGCTCCGGCGGCTTGAGAGGAAGGGGAATCAGGGAGTTTGACTGAGAAAGATGAAGAAGAGGAAGAACGAAGCAAGCGGCACCACTGCTGAAAAACGTACACAAACCCTAATCGTTCTGAACCCTAACAAAAAACGCTGCAAACTTTGTGAATTGGGCCATCCGAGCCATAAGCGCATAACGTTTTGGCCAGTGCACCCCCCTCCCTTTGCATTCTGACCATTTGTTTTTGTTTTGGGCCTAATCAGTCCAGACCTTAAAGCCCACTTTTTTTTAACTTGTTATAATTTTCTTCTTTCTATTCAATACTTTTTTATCAAATTAAATTAATCCTTTTAATTAATTTTCTTTTTTAATTTATCTTTATTAATTTGTTACATTTAAGAAAATACCAAAAATAGTTTAGTCAATTTTCTTTTTTCTTAATTTATCTTTTTTATTTTATTTTATTAAAGATATACTAGTAATATATTAGAACTTCATTTTGTAAATTAAATTTGACTTTCTCAAATAGTTTCATTTTTATTATTTTCTTTTTTTTATTATCCTTTTTACACATAATGAAAACACCAAGAATAATAGAAATTTTGTTTAATTAATTTTTCTTCCTTTAAACTTTTTATTTACATAATTAATAAAATACAAAAAGAATAATAATAATAATTCTTAATTTTTTAGAATAGATTTTTATTTGTTTATTTTCAAGTAAATACATGCATTTTGTACTTTATTGATTTCATAATTTGTTATAGCTTTATATTGAATTGCGATAATTCGATTTGGTTGTAATACTTGATATTTGGACATTATTATTCTTGTGAGACTCATCCCCATTTGTAATAATTTGTACCCCCATTCCCGGACACTTTTGTAATAACTTGGACTTTTAATTCTCGCATTTTATGCTTTCAAATATGCCATGATTAGAGATTAGGGTTTGTATGCAAAAATCCAAAATCAATCGCTAAATGACCTAATCCAAGAATAAACAACTTGAAATCAATACACAATGCACACATGCACCCCTAGGGTTTCATCCACTTGTTGCCTTTAAAATGGCCATGTTAGGCATGTTGAGTACTTTGGCAAAAAAAAAACAAAACAAAAGATCATAGTTCCTCGATGACGCTATCTTGGTTTCCTACACAAAAATGATCTAGTCCCTCGGAAAATTGCTAAAGATACTTGGCAATATTGCTATCATGGTCAATACGATGATCCGCGCATGTCCTGTTTAACATCCTAATACAAGGTTATTTACCAAATGCAATGGTAAAACAACACTGTCAAAAGGGTTAAAAATGTGTAGGAAATACTTTTGAGTAAAATAGGGTAGACAACTCTTAGTTACTTGATCAAATCTTGCAAAACATCCTTGCTATTTTCAAACACACTTCACAACACAATTTCAAAACATTTCCCAAAAAAAAACTTTCAAACATTGAAATCTTTTCAAAAGACAATACACCTTTGTATATATTCAAACAAGAATCATTACAAAGGTTGCCACAATGATGATCTCTTTTTCAAAGCATTTTCAAAAACCACACACAGAGCATCATTTCAAACAATTGAAAAGCAAAAGCAAGTGATCTAAACAAGTAACTAAGAGCCCATGGATAACCATGGATGAAAAGGGTGCTTGCACCTTCCCTTTTCATAATCTACTCCCCGAACCCAAGAAAACATCTCAAAGGTCTTTCCTGTGCTTTTTGACCTTTCCTTAGGATAAAATAAAAAGTCGGTGGCGACTCTTGCTAAACCGAAACATTTGCGAGCACAAACACAAAACCTCAAGTCAGTTCTCCCACCGTACCATAAAAAGCAAACAAAAATTTGAAACTAAATGAAATCCCTTATATTATGCTAGATTAAGGCCAAAGCGATGAAAACTATGGAGTATCAGTGTTGGTTTTTATCTCGCAATAATTAATTGAAACAATATTCTATCTTTATAGAAAAAAGTGTAAAAAAAATATACATTTCTTGTATCCAAGAATCAATTTTATTCCCAATGGACTAATAGTCTACCATAGCTGCTACTTATCTCTTCCTTGTCCCTTCATTATGTAAACTAATAAGAGTATGAGCAACTTGTATTCTAGGTGGTTTATCTCCCAAATGTTCAAGTGAAACCCATTCCTTTAAAGGCCCTGCACCTTTGAAACAATGATTTTTTTGTACTTATTCACATCGAAAGAGTGCTGCCAATATTACAAAATTATATAAGATCTTCATTTGAAATGACCAGTGATAAGCATCATAAAAATCATATCCAAAATGCTTAATTTAAATTCAAACCCTCGATTTTGAATTTATGGATTAAACCTATGACAAAACCACCTTCAAAAAAATCAAAATGAGTTATGTGATCTATCTATGAGTTTTTTACATTCAAATATTCTATTATAGAGGATTCATGAGTTAAACACAAAGCCCTCCATTGACTCTTGCAAATAGTTAAAAAATCAAAAAACAAAACCATATAATTTGTCTTATTGGTCAAGTAGTAAATAATGTATTTTGTTTTCATCAATGAACAAGAATGCTTGACTGACCTTCATATGCTACAAGCCTGTTGTAGCATACATATGCTTTACCATCCTTCAAACTTAATAAATTGGCTGTGAACCATGTTGATTTATATCCCGTTCCATCTTTAAAAACCTGATACATATGACTGCTTCAGTTAGCCAAGAATAGTTGGTAAAATCCAAAACAACAGAACCTAATAATCAACAAAGTAGTTACAATAACTAATAACCCAAAAAAATCAGCACTAACCGAAGAAGGCTCCAGCATCGCACAACGAGCAACTCCTGAAATGGCTGATGACAGAAAGGTCAAACCAGACATGAACACTGAAGCTAAATACCAACAGATATCCCGGGCCAGCACATGAATAACACCACCAGAGGCTATAGTGCGATGATTCAAATAGAATAGATAAAAAACATCAAACATAGTCTGCAATCGATGTATCACGCTACTTTACAAACTTTGGATCAGTTCCTCTCAAATTCGCCTAGAAAATTCATTTATGTTCAAATTGGTATCTTTATCACTAAAATTGATGGATAATACCTTCAAGTAAAGAAAAGCTTAAAAAAAGAGTTACCTTATATAAAAACCTTTCATTCTATAATTCAACATTCCATCAAACTGAATATTCAAGAGACCCAATCCAATAGGTATTTCCCATAGAAACTCCAAGACGAGAATTTCATCATCTTCAAATAATTCAGCTTTTGAAGGCTTGCAAACCTACATACATATTCATCAATTCTAAATCAGAAAGAAAAAATGGTAACAGAAAAACTCATAGTTGAAATGGGAGTACCTTAGAGGAATCACGGTTGGTGAAAGAAACAATATCTTTGCCGAGGGTAAGTTCAGCGGCACTGAGAATAAACACAATCAAACATAAACACAAGATAAACAATTAGAATTAGAAATAAATCAGGGTTTAAATATAAAAAAGAGGATTACTGTGAATTTGATGATCAATATTTTGACCGTACATCAACGATAGCGTGTGCAATCAAATCTTCTACACTCTCTTCTATTCCATTGGAGTTTGATGCATATGTAATTCTTCTTTTCACTTCTTCACACTTCAAATCAATGGAAGAACAATAGAACAACATAACATCTTTGAATCAGAGGCCATCGACGATTTTTTAAGACGTCGACATCGTTATTAGGTGGTGGATATTTGAAGTTGTTTCTATAGTAGACGAAAAGAAAGAAGAGAAGACATGAGAGAGAGGAGGAAGAAGAAGAAGATGATGAAGAAAACAGATCCATAGAGAGAGAAAGAGAGAAAGGATGAGAAAGAAAGGGGAAGATAAACCGTTGTAGAATAATGGGGATATTGGTAGTGGAATGGTAAGAAGGGGAAATGAATTGAAAATTATGGTGTTGTTTTGTAACCGACAATTTTTGTGAAGAATAAGAAGGTTTTGGAACAAAATATATTTGAAACAACAAAAAACTTTGTTTATATGAAGCCACGTGAAAGCATATGAGAAAAGCAATATTTGATTTTCTTATATGATATATTTTAAAATAATAAGGTTTCTAAGAAGAGGACAAATGACAAACTTGCCAAAATACGCATTTAACTTTAGGGTTAAATAAGTTTTTTAGTCCCTCTAAATATCTCAAATTTCGGTTTTAGTCCCTCTAAAATTTTCCTTTAAAGAATGGTCCTCCTAAAAAAATTAAATTTTAATTTTTGAAAGGACCACTATTTGAAGGAGAGACCAAAAATTAAAATTTAATTTTTTAAAATGACCATTCTTTAAAAAAAAAATGTAGAGAGACTAAAAACGAAATTTAAAATATTTTGAGGGACAAAAAACTTATTTAACCCTTAACTTTATTATATTCTACTATGTAAAGTGACTTTTTTCAAAAGAATCAACATGAGTTAAGCGGTTTATTTCCCGGTTCATAAGCAGAACGATTTTCAGATATTTGTGGACCGGATATTGATCCGGTTTTCGGTTGAACCGGTTGGTCCAATCAGGATTTCATTACTATGCACCTGAGGTGATTCTGATCGTGTCTCCTATCAACTCCTATCCCGTTCACGACGCCTATTTCTCCGTTTCCCCCGCAGTATTCAAAATCAATTTCATCACCGAGTCGCCGTCACCGGCAAACTGCGGAGGAACTTTCACCTCATGTTTTCTTTTACGATGAGATAAACCTCCATCACTACTCACTGTGCTCGCGCTCCACTTTGAATCATCATGCTTCAATTTCTAACCTCATCACCGCAGAGAGGATTCGCTAGGCTAATGCATTCCGTACGAGCACTTTTTTCGCACCCGGAGGATCTAGAAATGAAAGATTTACTTGATTACATTGATTCCTTGAAAAATTACGAGAAATCTGGGGTTCCTACCGGTGCAGGAACTGATTCCTACCACGGATTTGATCTTGGTAGAATGAGACGCCTAATGGATCGTTTTGGTAATCCTCACTTCAACTTCAAGGTTCAATCTCTCACTATCTTTCACTCAATTTTATGCAGTTGATGTAAGTTGTAAATTGTAATAAGTGTTTTAGTTACTGGCAATTGTAGGCCGTTCATATTGCTGGGACTAAAGGAAAAGGATCAACGGCTGCTTATATATCTAATATTCTGAGGACTCAAGGTTATTCTGTTGGTTGTTATACTAGGTGAACTTTCTTTATCATTTAAGTTTTCCTTTTTCTTACTTTTAGATAACTGCAATTACTTGAAATTGTCTTCAAACCATAGATTCTTTATGATTGGTAAATATCATTGACAACATGTTTTTTTTGTTTGTTTCTCGAGCAGTCCACATATCCAGACTATCCGGGAACGCATTCTGCTAGGAAGATCGGGTGATCCTGTTTCAGCAAAATTATTGAACAATCTCTTTCATAGGATCAAGCAGGATCTCGACCAAGCAATGAAAGATGAAAATGGTTTCATAAGCCATTTCGAGGTATTGAACTGTGGAATATTGTTATTGTTATGAAGTTAATGTGTTAGCTTAGAAGTTACTTTGACGGGGTTTTGTTGGAAATTTATGTGTGAAAGCACATTGATTAGAATAGGTTAAACGTGACAAATGTATGCAAATAAGACTATTGGTGTAATGTAGTTGCAAGCTCATTAGAGAAACTATTAAGAAAAATTTAAGGGTTAATGAGTTGATCCAGTTGAATATAAATATGATATAAGATAGAACATCACATTGTCGTTTGATCCATTCAGCCGTCCCCACTTAGGGGACAAATCTTGGTTGTTGTTGTTGTAAGCTCATTTTTGTGGTTTGCCTCGTTGATGCTGATCTTTTTTTTTTCGGTTCCCTCTTTGATCCCCATCAACTCATTCCATGTGACCTATTGAGAGATGGGGATTTTGTTTACTCAATTCTACGGATCACTTTAGCTCCCCTGTTTGTTCTGTTCAAGATTGTTGCATTTCTTTTGAGTTACTAGTCAGCTTTACTACAAGAAAATATAGCATTCTATTGAAATGCAGTTTGATATTTTGTCTATGGTTTAACTGTTTACCCTGTAGTTTTATATGGGTACATAATGCGCCATAAGTTATGGTCAGATAACTCACTTACGGTGACGTTTTAGGTTTTCACTGCCATGGCATTCATCTTGTTTGCTGATGAGAAAATTGACATTGCGGTTATTGAGGTTAGTCATCTATTTTACTTCATCCATAAAATATTTGTTAGTTGTTTCAAACTTAATATCAAATGATTCTTCTGATTGTATTTCTCCCACCAAAAGAATCTCGAGTTGATGCTCACTTTTTGTGGCACCAGCTAGTGCATTAGGGCTTATTTGAGGTTGTTACATGTTGATATCAGCCTGATATCCATCTGAACTAGTTGTTTAAGCAGAAATGTAAAGAAAGGCTGGAGGGGGGATGATAGGAAACAAATAATGTTGAAGAAGAGAGAGACTCTAAAATTTCAATCGTGGAGAGATGCAACCATGCAGGATCAGGGAGTGATTTCCCTTACAAAGTGTGCCCCTTACATTACAGTAGAGTAACTTAGTTACTTGACATTTGTTGGACTTTCTACCTTACTTGCAGTCTGCCCCTAGTCGCCTTAATTGCGGCACTTTGGCTTGCCTCATTGCAGCCTCCAACACCTTCATTTTGTTGGCTTTGAAGGGGTGGATTTAGTTCCAAATTGTTTAGAGATATGGCCTGTGTTGTGTTTATAAGTGGGGGCAATCCTCCCCTTACAAGCTAGTTTTGTAGGGATGGGTTAGGCCTAATCCCAAATACTGAGATGGTACAAGTCGATTTTGTAGGGTTGAGTTAGATTCAACCACATTTCTTAACATGGTATCAAGAGCTTCGTTTAAGATCTGGTGGACCACCTACTATGGTTTCTGCTATTTGACCACCCACCATTTATTTCCACGCTCCAGTTGTCTAGTCCTGGGCGTGAGGGGATCTGTTAAGAGTCCCACATCAGACAATATATGGCCTGAACATGATAGACTATCATAAGAGAGAAAAGGATAAAGCAAAGTATGTATTTCATATATTGATCAATCAACAATGAAAGAATACAAAGGCTTTTATATAGAACAGTTAGAATCTAATCAATTGTTACACATCAGCATAACAAACTAACAAAATACAGCTGACATAACTAACATACACTAAGCCCTATTTACTCTATTATTCCTCCTTAGAAACTGAGGATGTATCAAGCATATTAAGTTTGTTGAACACTCTCAGTTTGTCACGCAAAGGGAGAAATTTGGCTGCTGAAAGAGGCTTAGTCAGTAAGTCTGCCCACTGATCTTGAGCTGGCACATACTCAACTATGAGATTCTTGGAGAGCACTTTTTCCCTTACAAAGAATATGTCCAATTCCATATGCTTGGTCCTATTGTGCAGCACAAGATTATGAGCAAGAGTAACTGTACTGAGGTTGTCACAGAGAAGTTTGGGAGTATGAATTCTGCAGTGAAGTTCTTGAAGAAGGGACTGCACCCATAGGATTTCTGCAGCAAGCTGTGCCATACTCCTGTACTCAACCTCAGCACTTGACCTGGCTACCAACTGCTGCTTTTTAGACCACCAAGATATCAAGTTTGGACCTAGAAAAACACAAGCTCCGAAGGTAGATCTTTTGTCGTCAGGGTCTGATGCCCAATCAGCATCACAAAACCCAAGCAAAGATAGAGGTTGACGGGGTGAGGTAGGCTGAATCAGCAAGCCATGATGCAGAGTGCCACTGAGGTACCTCAAGATCCTTTTAACTGCCTTCCAATGCTCCGCCAAGGGATTAGACAAGAATTGGCAAACCTTGTTAACAGAAAATGAAATTTCAGGTCTGGTGAGAGTGGCATATTGAAGAGCCCCCACAACAGATCTGAATTGAGCGGGATCAGAAACAACTTTAGAACCAAGTTTAGACAATTTATTTGTGGACACCATAGGAGTAGGCATGCCATTAGCATCGAGCATGTTAATCTTAGCCAGCAAATCAGTCATATATTTAGCTTTGAGAGAAAAAGAGTGAACCATTTGGCAAGTGTGTAACCTCTATGCCAAGGAAATAGTCCAACTTGCCTAGCTGTTTGAGAGAAAAATCAGTATTCAAAATTTTGATTAATGGAGTAATAAAGGAGGCAGAATTACCAGTGATGATAATATCATCAACATACACCAGCACCATTATGGTTAAGCTTGCAGTGTGAAGGAGAAACAGACTAGGATCACATCTGCTAGCATGAAACCATGATGCAGTAAAGAACCTTTAAGCTTGTCAAACCAGGCTCTAGGGGCCTGCTTGAGCCCATAAATAGCTTTGTTCAGCTTGCATACAAGAGCCTTGTCAGCAACTTCAAACCCATGAGGCTGCTGCATATAGACTTCCTCCTCAAGGGTGTCAATTAAAAAGGCATTGTTCACATCAATCTGCTGTATATGCCACTTGTGAGTAACTGCAAGAGTCAAGGCAATTCTGACTGTATCAGGCTTTACCACAGGAGAAAAGGTCTCTGTAAAATCACTGCCAACTTGCTGATGGAAGCCTTTAGCTACCAACCTGTCCTTGTATTTGTTAATGGAGCTATCAGGGTTCTCCTTCACCCTAAATACCCACTTGCAACCAACTGGCTTCCTAGAAACAGATGGTGACACCAAGGTCCAAGTCTGGTTCTTTAATAATGCCTGATATTCATCTTTCATGGCCTGAGACCAATGGGGAGAAGCCAAAGCCTGACCAACTAAAGTAGGTTTCATATGTGTGAGTAAAAGAGTAGGGTGAAGTCTGGGCTTAATAGTGCCACTTTTGGCTCTAGTTTGCATGGAATGAGTATTATAGGGATGTATAGAGGGTTGTTGGGAGGCTGAAACAGGGCTGGGAAGAGAAATATTCTCTTGGACAGAGGATGGAGAAATGGTGCTAGCCTCTGCAATATCAGATGTGAGAGAAGAGGGAGTAATGGGAGAGTGGGAAGGAGAGTTAGCAGAAGTAGAGGAAACATTGTTGGGAGATGTTATGATGGGAGAATTGGCAGAATTAATAGGAGCAGAAATAGGGCTGCTACAAGGACTGGATGCAGTAGGTGTAGCAGGAATAGAATTGACTTGAGTTAGAGGAACAACAGACACAGGAACTGCTGGTATAGACCAGGCAGAAGAAGTAGAAGAGGGTGATGTGGATGCAGCAGGGGAAGAAGAGGGAAATAGAAGGGAGTAAGGAAATTTTGTTTCATGAAAAAGGACATCCCTGGAAATGTAAATGCGGCCATTACCAGCAAGACACTTATAACCCTTATGAATGGTAGAATAGCCAAGAAATATGCACTCTTGGGACCGATAATCCAACTTATGAGAGTTATAGGGACGAAGGAACGGAAAACAGGCACAACCAAAAACTTTAAGATGAAAGTAGTCAGGTATTTTGTTTAGAAGCTTTGAAATAAGGGGACTGGTTGGCAAGAGACACTCTAGGTAACCTATTAATTAGGTAAGCAACTGTGACAAAAGCATGGTCCCAAAACTTGAGAGGTAAGTTAGAGTGAGCTAATAATGCTAGACCTGTTTCTACAATATGACGATGCTTACGTTCAACTATGCCATTTTGATGATGGGTATGGAGACATGTAAACCTATGAGTAATGCCAAGGTTATTGAGATATTTGGTGAAAGGCCTAAATTCACCTCCTCCATCACTCTGAACAACTTTAGTTTTGCAGTTGAAAATTGAAGTTCAACCATGGTTTTGAATTGGACAAACTGAGTGAGTGTGTCAGATTTAAGTCTCAAAGGGAAGACCCAAACAAATCTGGAAAAAGCATCTACACAGGTAAAAAAATAGGTGTAACCACCTGAAGACTGTATGGGAGCTGGTCCTCATAAGTCACACACCACTAACTCAAAATGTTGTGCACACACAGTAGTGGATAAAGAGGTAGGCAGTCTGTGAGATTTCCCTAAACAACAGGCAGTACAGAGTTCAACTTGAGATTTAAGAGGTATAGGAATATTACAGGTTTACAGGTTTTCAGCACTTCTGCAAGGGCATACTTGCTATTAGGAATAATATTAGAAACAGTAGGGTGCTGTAGAGACTGAGAATTAGCAAGGGTAGTAGCATGAACAAGAGGTGAATTAGCACATAAAAAGTCACTTTTATTCATTGAAACTGAAGGATTACAAGCAGCAATACAATTGGCATTGGAATGAAGTAAAGTATTACATGATGTACTAGGATTACAATTATTTGAAACTAGAGCTACACTAGAATTGATACTAGGGAGAGACTTGGACACTTGAGAAGAGGGACTTTGAAACTTGTATAGACCATCAGCTCCTACAACTCCATGAAGAAGCACCTCAGAAGAAGCTTGAGATTTAACAAGACAAAAGTAAAAGTGAAATTCAAAGAAAACCTGATTGTCTTGGGCAAATTTGCTAACACTGATAAGGTTTTTGGTGATGTGAGGTACAAGGAGTAAATTGTGTAGGGTGAGTGGTTTGTGAGGGAGTTAGGTGAGGTAAAATTCATGGAACCTATAGAGTTGATAGATAAACTTTGGCCATTCCCCACGAATACTTGCTCAGAGCTAGTCACAGAGTGAGCATCAGACACATTAGAAGAATCAGGTGTAACATGATGTGACTCACTTGAATCAGGATACCACCACTGATTGCTGAAGGTTGGATCAAGACTCGCCATAAACGCTTGTGGTAGAAAAGGCCTGGATGCAACTGGTCTAGGAGAAGCATAACCAAAAGAAGGTGCATACACTGGTCGAGCATTCATTAAGAAAGGATTGAAGGGAGCACGTTGAGGTGAAAACTGCATAGAAGTGGATTGCGAATACCTGTAATAACAAACAGAAGCATCATGTCCACTTTTGTGACAGATCTGACATTGGGGCTTACCAAAACAGCCACTGCCACGGCCACAACCACCACCACGGCCAGAAGGACCTCCCCTGGAGTTGTAATTGTTGTTTTCAGCATGAGCAGTCACGTGACTAGTACCGATGGGAAACGACTCTGTACCAGGCGACGAAGGTTCCACCGGAGAAGACGAGTCAGACGACGGAGCCTGCGTCAAATTGACTGATACCGGTTCCGTGAGGATCACTTTGCGATGCTTTTCCAATCTCGATTCGCGTGCAAGGAGACAAGACTCGAGTTCATCCAAAGAGCTAAGATCTTCCTTGCTATTAACAACAGCGACAATAAAGTCGTACTCCTCAGGAGTGCATCAAGAACTATCTCAATTAGGTTACGAAGAAGAACAGGATCCCCAATTGAGATCAAGGATTCATTGATTTCACGAACACGCACCATGAACGACTCAATTGTGAGAGTAGCTTTGGAGAGACGACGCAATTCCGAGCGAAGCTGACGTGCTTTCGTCGTGAGTAGCGTGGCGAAGTAACGATGTACTTCCGTCCAAACCTGCCACGCGTGTGTGCAGTCAACGAACTTTGGAAGCAGGGAATCAGAGATCGTGGAGAGAAGCCACATGCAAATGAGAGCATCTTGTTGTTTCCAATCAAGATAAGCATCGTTCACCTCGCTAAGATTAGGCTCGGAAGTCGGAGGAGAACGCTGAGGAATCACCGGAACCGTGAGGAAGCATTGAAGCTTGTGGCCACGAACAACACCGTCAATTTGTTGTTTCCATTGCTTGAAGTTCTTATCATCAAGCTTGACGGAGATAAGATGTGAGAGCTTAACGTGAGAAGAAGGAAACACACCATCGTTGCGAAACGGAGACGCCATAGATCAAGGTCACTGGATCGGAAAAAGGAATGCTCTAGATACCATGATAGAGTATCATAAGGAGAAAAGGATAAAGCAAAGTATGTATTTCATATATTGATCAATCAACAATGAAAGAATACAAAGGCTCTTATATAGAGCAGCTAGAATCTAATCAATTGTTACACATCAGCATAACAAACTAACAGAATACAGCTGGCATAACTAGCATACACTAAGCCCTATTTACTCTATTAGAACATGTGCTTAATAAGTGGGGGCAATCTTCACCCTACAAGCTGGTTTTGTAGGGTTGAGTTACGCCCAACCACATTTCTTACAACATTTATTCCAATCCGTCTCTGATCTGTACAATTACTACTGTAAACTCTAACTTCTAACTAACTACTGCTGCAATCTATTTTGTTAACCGACTGACCTGCTAACCATCTTAGTGCTTATTGCGTTATGTGCTGATCTTCAAAACCTTATTTTATTGTAAAGGCTGGGTTAGGAGGTGCACGGGATGCAACAAACATTATATCAAGCTCTGGACTTATTGCTGCAGTCATCACGACTGTAGGAGAGGAACATTTGGCAGCTCTTGGGGGTTCGTTGGAAACTATTGCAATGGCGAAGGCTGGAATCATAAAACAAGGCCGCCCAGTTAGGTGTATCTCTTTGTAGGTCTCATATTCATGTTAATATGATATGCTGAAATTGACATGTTATTTCCATTTCTAAGTGAATTTGACAAATTTAGATCCAATTCGTTTTTTTGGTGAACAAAATCCAATTCTTATGTAAATAAAACTAGCAGTTTTTGTTCTAAAACAGAGAGCCAATAATGATTTATGTAAAATATTATTTTTTTGTTTGCTGTTAATCTATAGTTTTATGACATTTTCTAAGACAAATATTAAAAAATGTTAGTTAAGTTGCACATTTTTTAAGGATGAAGTCAAATATTTCTTTTCATGTATTGTTTATATAATGTCTAAATACAGATTTTCTACAAAGAAATCTTGTTGCCTAGTTGTTGATTTACTTTGTTCCTTTTTAATTGTTGTATTTCTAAATTACTTTGATTTAAGTATTACTTTGAAAAAGGCCCTTTTTCTCCTTCAATTTTTGGTGACTAAAGTAATGTACATTTCAGTTGGTGCTTGGTGGGCCGTTTCTCCCTCATATTGAGCAGATTATTCGAGAAAAAGCGGTAACCATGGACTCCCCTGTTGTTTCGGCATATGACGCTGGGAACAGCCTTGCAGTAAAAAGTTTCAGCATACTTAACGGCAAACCTTGTCAAATTTGTGATATAGTAATACAAACTGTCAAGGACCTGAAACTGGTAAGAGTTTGCATTCTCTAGCTTTTAGTTTTTGTTCAGATAATGCAATGTAGGCACATACTCGGTGGGGGTAGCTTTTGTCCAGCCGTGGTCACTGAGTGCTTGGGAGGCATCTTGGCAATATATTGTGCAGTTTCTGAGCTATCATTATGATAGAAACAATTGATATACAAAAGAAAATAGGGAAAATCCTTTTGAATTACAGAATAATATCGCAGAACTTTGAGGGTTTGCACCTCCCCTAATGCCAGAATGTCCCCTTTCCAATCTAATTTCAAGATAAACACTCTTCCCTATTTATTCTAAACATACACACAACATTAATAAAACATAACTGCTCCTAATACTATAATAATTTTCCACTACTCACTCCTCCTAATTATATAATAATTGCTGCTTAAAATATAATTGCTAATTAATGAAAAATATGACACATTATTTAAATTCGATGTAGTCAAGTGGTTTTTGGAGTAGGAAATATTTTGTCTCCAATTAGACCACATTTGTGGGAGACTCATTCTTCAGAATGGGGTTTGGGGGAAAGTTCATAAGTATTGTTTTCTTATGTACTTGTAAAACATATGATTCAAGTGAGTTATTCTCTGGAATCTCATGATTATAATCAATATTTTACGGACATACTATTAAATGGAAGAGTCTAGAAGAGCTATTTATAAGTTCATGTGTTTGTGTTAGAGACCTAAATGAAGAAGCAAGCCTTGATTTAAAGTGGAGAGTGTACAAAAGGAAACGGGGAAAGGGAATGAAGGTTGATGAGCTGGCACAAGGCGAAATGAAAAGCATGTGTTAGTTAGTTGGGATAAAGTGTAGGATGGAGAGAGAGGAGGGCATGTAAGAATTCTGTTAGTGAGATCACACTTTTTGTGTTGTGAAGGAGCCTAGTGCTAGTAATTCTTTAACAGTTAGTTACTCTTTTTCTTTACGCTGTAATTGTTCACCGTTATCAATAAAATTGCAGATTTTCCACAATTATTCTGTTACTTATTAATCTCTGTAGTTCACTATCCCATGTCTTGTATTTTATCATTTGTCTCAATGTTCCAAAAAATGCACCCCATCTCTCTACCACTTTACTAAGCTATTTTAACTGATTTTCAATCTATATTTTATGTTTGTTGATGGGAAAGTTTATGAGCAATTTACCGGGTATTACTATTCCTGTAGTCCTGTAAGTTACATGATTTGAAGCTGCAAATGCCTGGTGATCACCAACTTCAAAATGCAGCAACTGCTACTTGTGCGGCACTCTGTCTTCGTAGTTTAGGTACACCTTTTCTGCATTATGCTTGTCGTTTGCCTTCTCTTATATTAATAGAATATGTTGCTACTCTAGTTCACTATTCGTGGTTAAGATGTGTGGATCACATCTAGGGTTTCCGTTAAATTTTTAGGCCTTTTTCCCTTGCAAACCTCTTACCAAATACCAAGCATTTATATGTGCTATGTAGTATAATGTCTTATATTTCTGTGCAGACATTGCTGTAAGTGTTTTTGTTAGACTCTTCAGTTTTGTAACTGATATTAAATTATTAGGAGAGTTAGTGGTTAATTATTAGAATTATTATATAATTAATTAAGAGTGTTTAGGTTTAGAATAAATAGGGGAAGATATTAGAGAGATGATCATCTTGGAATTGGATAGAAAAAAGGGCCATTTTGGCATTTGGGAGGTGCAGACCCTCGAAGTTCTGCAATATCATTCTGTTTTAAAAGGGAGTTTCCCTATATCTTATTCTATATCAGTTGGTTTCTATCAACTGGTATCAGAGCAGTTCTGATCCAAAAGAGATTTTGTCAGTGTGCTGGAAATTTTGGCATGAATATGGCTGCAGATTTGATTCCAAGATTTGATAGAAGGGAGGCCTATTGGTGGCTGATCCAAGCTGAGCAATATTTTGGGTCAAGAAGAATGAGTGAAGAGATGAAGCTTGAGTGGGTTGTGGCATTTGCATTGAGAGGAGATGCCCTCGATTGGTGGATTTCTTGGAAGGAGAGTCATCCAAATACTTGTTGGTGGAATTTTGCAAAGGCCATTCTCAAGAAATTCCAACCAGAAGTTTGGGTTTGTCTACTGGAGTCTGAAAATGAAACACAGGAAATCCAAGACAGCGATGAAATTCAAGAACCAATAGCATCTCCAACTGAAGAAATGATTGGTGGTAAAGTTGAAGACTCACAAATCCAACAATACAGTGAAAAAGAAGTTTGTAAAGTTGATATCAAATCTGATTGCGAAGGCGACAAAGTGAAAAATACAGATTCATTGATGGCCGCTAGTGAAGCAAAGGTCCAGAGAAGTGACAGAGAGTCGGCTATTTCATCACAGGCAAAAGACTCACTATTGTCGGTGTTTGCTACTATTCCTAAGATAAAGTCTAGGAACAAGAAATTTCCACTACTGGTGCCACTGTCGCCACAAAATCTGGTCACAAGAGGACTGCCATTAGCAAGAAAATTTCCTATTTCATGTACAACTCAACCTTTATTTTTCATATTATGGGATCCGGGAGGATAAATTTTTCCTATGTATTTCTTTCACCTCGAGGACAAGGTGAATCTTTAGGGGGGAGTATTGTTAGACTCTTCAGTTTTGTAACTGATATTAAATTATTAGGAGAGTTAGTGGTTAATTATTAGAATTATTATATAATTAATTAAGAGTGTATAGGTTTAGAATAAATAGGGGAAGATATTAGAGAGATGATCATCTTGGAATTGGATAGAAAAAAGGGCCATTTTGGCATTTGGGAGGTGCAGACCCTCGAAGTTCTGCAATATCATTCTGTTTTAAAAGGGAGTTTCCCTATATCTTATTCTATATCAGTTGGTTTCTATCAGTTTTCAACTGCTCCAACTCAGTATTTTACCGTTTTCCCGCTGATCCATTCCCTGTCATTTTGACCATTACCATGACCATGACAAATGAAATCAAAGTCTTTTGTATTGTGTTACGTAACACCATTTGTTAGCAAGTAACAAATAGATAACTAGTAGACACAAATAAGTAGATAGGGTCTCAATAGAAGAGAGAGAGAGAGAGAGTGAAGAAGAAGAGAGTAGCTAGTCATTTGAGTGAATTGTAACCTTTGGCTGCATACTTGAAGTTCTGCACTGTTATGCGTGAACAAAATATTCCCCATTTTTTTTCTAGCAAATTGCCAGTTCATATTTCCTATTTTTAAGTATCATTTTTTTTATTAAATTTTTTGCTTGCACTGTTATGCGGTGAACAAAATATTCCCCATTTTTATTCTAGGAAATTGCCAGTTCATATTTCCTATTTTTAAGTATCATTTTTTTTATTAAATTTTTTGCTTTGGTAATATTCTTCACTATCCCCGTGTTTCTTGGATGATTAGGATGGATGATTTCTGATGAATCTATTAGGCGCGGTTTAGAGAGTACATACCTCCTTGGAAGGAGTCAACTCCTAACATCCGAAGATGCCAAGGTCTTAGGACTTACTGGAGCAACAATACTTCTTGATGGAGGTTGACCACTCTTCTCTTTTTATTACCATGGGACAAAAACTTAGGTTCATTTGCTTTGGAGATTTTTCTAAAAATCCTGTCAAGTTTTTTAAGGAAAGATAGGCATAAAATTTGGTAGTTTTCTATTGCATTGTACACATTGTTAATATTTCATGTTGTCCTTACGTGTGAAAAAAATGGTCTGCCATTCACACCCAGTGGCCGTTTCACGAGAGTGAAACCATCTGGTCATCTCACTTTAGCTCTTCACTCTTGACTGGGAGCATGTGATTACTACTGGTTTGCCCAATTTGCTTCTTTTCTTGTTTCAAACTTTCTTGGGTTTCAATCGTAATATGATTTTCCTTAGTTAAGGTAGTTATTTCTGCATGAAAGCAGTAGTTTGAACAAAAAAGGTAAAAGCTTATGAAGCATGCCAAAATAACTGAAATTTGAATGTAATAGACATGAAAATGCGATGCAAGTTAAAATACATTATCTGTTTGACAGTTTATGTTTGTAAAATTTCTGACAGTATTGTGGAGTCTGTAAAATGCGAGTTCATAAATACAATAGTTATGATTGTGTGGATTCATCATGTAGCTCACACCAAAGAGTCTGCCAAAGCGCTGGTGAATACAATAAAGATGGCGTTTCCCAAGGCTCGATTAGCTTTTGTGGTTGCAATGGCGTGTGACAAAGATCATGCTGGTTTTGCTCGAGAGATTCTCTCAGGTAAACTATGTTAATTTGCCGTTACAATTTAATAAAAATATCATATTATATTAAATATAATTTCATAAAGTGGAGAACATTAGGAAGTGACAGACAGTCTTTTAATATGATAGTGTAAAGTTTGTTGAATGAAGGAATAAAATGTTGAGTTAATTTGATTCATTTATACCTCTACTTTTAGCCTGTGTATATTGCCTTTATTGGTCAAACGATTTAAACCATTAATTCAAAAATCAAATAGCATAGATATATCAGAACCATGAAGTTCTAAATTGTAAATTTCATTCAATTGATTTTTCCAATTACCATTTATAATTCCATACTTTTTTTCTTTGAAGCACACTCATTTTAAAGAAGTCAAATGAATTGATGTAATATGTAGTATTTTTATTTATTGAAGTGTATAAAACTAAGTATGTTACTTCATTTGTTCAGGTGCATATGTAGAGACTGTTATTTTGACTGAAGCTGCTGTCGCGGGAGCTGTAACTCGAATAACACCAGCTTCTTTGTTGAGAGATTCTTGGATTAAAGCTTCTGAAGAACTTGGTGTCGCCATTTTTCACGAAGGAATGACAGAATACAGAGAGTTATTAGAGGAACAGCCGGTAAACTCTGACAGCAATTTGAGTGATGGTAAGACCATATTGGCTACCGAGTCTTCATTAAAGGATTGCTTGAGAGTTGCAAGTGAGATTCTAAACAGAAGAAGGGATGAAAAAGGTGTTATTGTCATCACTGGATCACTGCATATTGTATCCTCAGTCTTAGCTTCTCTTGCCGATTAATAGAAGCTTTTACTTTTTTATAGTGTATGATCAACATTTCATTAGCACTGTACCTATTTAGTCTAGAATGGCTATTTTCTATTTAATAGGAACTGATAAAAATGTCATGTTTCTATAGGTTTTGATAAGATTATTCAACCAATGTTTTGTATAATTAAATCTGAAATCATATTTATATACCATACCTATCATAGGAAATCATGTTAGGTGGAATTTAAATTAGCTTAAAAACATACGAATTATAAGTTTATTAATTGTGTAATGAAACTTTAAAACAAGTTTTAAACAATCATTTCAAACAATATTTTAATAAGCTTAATTAGTAATGAAATCCTTTAACTTAATTTCAGGTTTCACTTTAATAACCGTTTTAATTTAAATTTTTAGTTTGTTAAAAATAGTTCTGTTAGCCTATTTTATCCTTTTGGTTACGTGATGATGTGGCATGACAACATGTCAAAAGTCAAAATAGTGAGTCAACTATTTAAATAAAAGACTAAATTGTTTCTTAAAAATAGTTCTGATAATCTATTTAATCTATTTGGTTAAATATTGAGAATAAGCATTAACTTATGATGATGTGACATAATAATATGACAAAAATTAAAATAGTGAGTCAACAATTTAAATAAGAGATTAAATTGAAACCTTATAATTAATTAATAGATCAAACTAAAACAATTGACTAAACTGTGATTAAAGTGACTTTATAACCTGTTATTTACGGGACTTGAATTTCATAATATTTTAGATTAATAGAATGAAGTTTTTTATATCAACATAATTTTGAATTTAATAGCATTTTAAACTAAAATCTTGTTATATTCTTTGATTGAAACCAAAAGTATTAAACCAGAATGACATTAAACATTTATAGACTCGACTATAAAAGATGTACGTACCTAAACACTACTATAAAAATTATGTACATAAAATAAACACAATTATGTTTAGCTCAAAACAGGTTTTTGACCATTCTTTGAAATTTGCCGAATTGAAGAGTGGTAATGCACTAGAAATTGCTTATAGTGTCAAAGACATTGACAGCTTACCTGTAGTCTTATTGTATCCATTCATAGAAGTTGCTGAAAAAGTGCAATGCATAGAAAAACACCATTGAGATGCAAGATTAGCTTTGGCTAATTTTGTCTTTGCTCATAATAAAATTCCTGTGAAACAATCAACCAAAATTAAGAAAATATTCTACTCAGAAACTCACCTCAGTTGATGCATGTAACATTTTCAAAGCAAATTAAGTAACCAATATAATGTAGCAGTTTTACATTTGAACAGAAATAATCAACACAACACAAAGTTCCCCTCCCTAGATGATGTACAAGAACAGGCCGAGGCTTTTTTTAATCCAGGGCATAGATCATGAGATCAAATTCACCAATCAAGAGAGACTTTAAAAGGTAATTTAACTGATTTATAACTAACATTAATCTTAACATACCTTAACAATCTTAACATATCTGCTCCAAAAGAAGAACAACCCTATACAATACAATGAACACATGATTCAATAAACTCTTCAACAATTACACCCACAACCCAAAGCTTTCAACTTAATAATTAAATTGCCCCTTAAAATGTCATTGAGAATGTATTAAAGCAAATATCCAATAAACTGTGCTGATCTTTCTAAATACACAATGAGCGCATCATTTATATACTTATCATAATATGAAGTCACAATATTTTCTCCAAAAGAAAAAAAAAAGAAAAAAAAGATCTCTAAGGTATCAATCAACCGTCTCTTCATTCATTCACGATTCCATATTGTTATTGCAAATCATATAAAAAAATATTTTTACTGCAAATAAAAAACTGAAACTAAATAGATTGCACTATGTATCAAAACTCACCTAACAAACAACGAACTATAGACATAAAAAAAATTGGGATTTTGAAGTGTTTGCGAACAACTTTTAGAGAGTGAAAACCAGCTTTGAGTTCACGTACTTGTTGCTCTTCGATTTCTTTGATATTGTAAGAATCAAAAGTGTTAGCACAAGTATAAGAGTAGAAAGAAATACACAAAATTTTATTTATGTATTTCGGCTAAATTATCTATGTCTGCAATTATATAGTAGCTATAGTATATTTATTTATGTCTTGTAAATTGCATATAGATTACAGTGTTACACGTTATATATATAATATAAGGTTTTAGTTTATCAAAAATTTAAATTTTTATTTTCCTGAACAAACAATTATCTTTACCCATAATTATCTCAACAATATGAATTATTCTCTCAACATCTATAATAATTTCAACAACTCATAATTATCTCAATAATATGAGTTATACTACCAACAACTCATAGTTATTTGAACAATTCATAATTATCTTAACATTATGAGTCATATTCAACAATCTACACTTTGACGTAGGGTTGTTCAAAAAATTTATGAATTGAACCGCTGAACTAAATCGAACTGAGGTTAAAATAACCAAACTGTTATATTTGGCTAGTGAAGCAAACCATATTACACAAACAGTTCTAAAACTAAACCGAACCAAAACTGAAACTGAACTGAACCGAAACCGAACCGAACCGAACCGAAATTGAAAATGAAAAATACTAAAAATAAGTTTTATTTTTTTAAAAATAGTTTAACTGTTCGGTTCTTTAATAAATAGTTCGGTTTGGGAAAATTGTCTTCTAACAATTCGGTACAGTTCAAAATTTTGAAATAGTATACCAAACCAATAATTTTGGTTCGGTTAGGTTCTAAGTAAATTGAAACGGTTCGGTTCAATTTGAATAAACTTAAACTATGGTTTAGTTCGGTTCAGTTCGGTTTTCACATAAAACCATACCATGGACAACCTTACCTTGGCGAATATCAAACCACTATGAAGATTTCTTGCATAACGATTCGTCTTGGAAACTAGGAAGGCACATCTCCTGCTTAACACCGAGAAACGTGTAACAGATCTAAACAATGTATGAACTTGTCACTGGTGACTGGTTTGGTCAATATATCAGTTGCATTCTCTGAAGTGTGAATCTTTTGAAGTAACATTTGTTAGGACGCCAACAACTCCTGATCTTGTGCAACCTCACATCAATATGCTTGGTCATATCATGATACACCTCATTATTCGCCAAATGGATAACACTCTGACTATCACAATGCAACTGAACTCCACCTTACTTAACACCCAACTCTTTCATTAACTCTGTAAGCCGCAATGCTTCCTTGGAAGCTTCAGATACTACCATGTATTCTACCTAAGTTGTAGACATAGCTACTATAGATTGAAATGATGATTTACAGTGTATATGTCCCCCGCAAGAGTAAAAAGATACTTTCTCGTAAAACTCACCCCATTATTCAGATCACCTGCATAGTCGGAATCCACATATCCCACAACTAATGGAACACCCCGCTCTTTGCTGAACAGATACCACGATCTGTTGTACTCTTCAAGTACCTTAGGATCCACTTGACTACTTTCTAATGCTGCTTCCCTGGCTTGAACATGAACTTGCACACTTGACTAACTACTTGTGCCAAATTCAGTCAAGTGCAAATCATAACATACATCAAACAACCAACTGCACTGACATAAGTAATCTTAGATATATCTTCAATCTCTGAGTCTGTCTTCGGACATTGTTCCAAAGAGAGCTTAAAATAATTAGGCAATTGGGACTCACAGGCTTTGCTTTGCTCATGTTGTAAGTCTCAGAGTGCCTAAGAGGAGGGGGGGGGGGGGGGGGGGGGGGGTGAATTAGGTCTATAAAAATTTATTCGGTTTTATGAGAATACTTGGTGTGATTTTTGGTTAAGTGTTTGAATGTTTTGATTATATCTTATCTTTTCCTTGATTATGGTGATGAAAGCGATAAATGCGGAAAAGTAAAGAACACGGTGATATATCCTGGTTCCCCTCACAATCCGAGAGTACTCCAGTCCCCTTTCCAACACGAAAGAGATTTTACTATAGTTAGAATGATTGTACAGCCTATGCTTACTATCTAACCTATAGGGAGATCAAAGGTTCTTAACACCTTTAAGATCAAACAAACACTAATGTGAATGAAGAACAATCCTCTTCAAATCATAACACTTACTTCCAACAATCCTGGATAGTAAGGGAATAATTTCTTTAATGTAATACAATGATTTAATTTGAAATAGATGGATAGCACTATCAATCTTCAATTGATCTTCTTCTTCAAGATAGAAACAATTCTCAAGCAATGTATATAAATGTTCACAATGTATAAAACTTGTAATGATTTAATGAAAGTATATATGACAAGTTTTACAAAATTTATGAACATATGAAAGTTTAAGTGCAAATTTGAATGAATGAGAAAATTGTTTATTGAAGAAGGTTTTTTGTTGTATGAAAATGTTATTGTGTTCTTGTTGATTGATTTATTTCAAAATCTGAAAAATCTGTATTTTATAAAGTCACAAGAACCTCTTCATTCATGCCAATTCATATGAAAAGTTGCAATGCATTCATGAAAGAGTACTACTTGAAAAATGTTCAAAAACCAAAAGAAAAGCTGCACTGGTTCGCTAGGAACCGGTTCCGACACTGACAGAACCCGGTTCTTAGTGAACGTTATAAGTCAGATTTCAAAAATATCACGCAGGAACCGGTTCCCCTATTGGTACAACCCGGTTCCTGGTACAAATTCCAGGGACATGTTTTTGAACAAGTTTTGGAACCCGGTTCCCTGTTAGGGAGGAACCGGTTCCTAAAGGGTTACTTTCAAAAATTCTTTTTGAAAAAGATTTTAAACAAAGTTTTTCTTAACATTAAAAATGTGAGATATGTATATGTTGATGAATGCATATTTTTGTGAACATCTATATTCAAGATTAAGAATTATTTATACCATTTGACATTTGATGATTCTTCAATAATTCTTCAATAATCTTCAAGACTTTTATATGATGTTGATAAGCTTTTTGCACATCCTTTGAATGTTGATGTCCATGTTGTCTTCATCAAAACAAATGCTCTTTAA